TATGACAGAAAACTTCTCCAGATCTCGGCATTCCACTCTCAGGTCCAATATTGATGCATACTCGTCTAGCCTGCAAAATTAGATATGAATATCAGTACTAGAGCCGATAAAAACAAAACATGATGAACACCCTACCGCTCCAACCTGCCCCAGTACTATTTCCAAAAATAGAAACAGATACATGCATAAAGGAATAAAGAAGTAAGAACACAAGAATTCCAAAAAAATACTACCTCCGTCCCATAAAGATAGACTTGGTTTCCTTTTTGTCTGTCCCAACTTATAGGCCAGTTTCCTTAATGAAAGCATAAATATTTTTAGTTTTCTAATATGTCCCTATTTAATGTACATTGCTATCAACAAATATAAACTAATCCTATTTAAATCATTATTTAAAGTATGGGTATATTAGGAAAAATGTAATAAAAATTTATATTTCCAATTATATTACTTACATTTTCTTAATCCGTGTGAATATAGAAATAAGCCTATATTTACGGGATGGAGGTAGTATCGCATTATCGCAATAGTAGAGCACAACCAGAGATTCACTAAATCATAAATAGTTTTAAAGATAGAACTGTATTCTGCAACCTTGGATGTAAGTCCAAACCAAAGAAGCATCAAGAAAAGGAACCAAGTAAAGAAAACAGCACCTCTTTTAGTTTTTTGCATGTGCTTGTTAAACAGTGTTCAAAATTGCATTCTAGAAATCTGCCTCTCCCCACCATTTATTCGAAGTAGCTAAAAGGGCATATTCAATGTTTGATCAAAATTACTTGGACTTAGAGCGCAAAGTTGAAGCCATGAAGATCTTGGGAGATCTGAGGCTGTCCATTTGTGTAAGAGCTAAAGTCAAAAAAATGAATATTTTTAGGCTTGACAGTTTAAGGAACTTGGATTCAGCTTCAAAGCATTTCTATAATTGTTTTCAATCACAATTTTTGGGTTTAATTTGTTTGCAGGTTTTGTTTCCTCCACAATACCACCTGCAAAATATGTGTGCGTCTATGTGAAAGAGAGGCGGTCGGCTTTGTATTCCAAGACATGCACAGATTAATGAGAAAATCCTGTGGAGAATTGTCAGCTTTTATTCTCTACATATAGTATTGTTCTCCAACACAGTTTCAATAACATGTCTTAGATAGTATATGGCCCAATCCATTGTTTATATTTTCCACAATCAATCTTAGAAAAATTTAATCGTGTCAGAATACAGCAATTCACCTAATCTGGGCTGAATTTTAACTTGTATCTTGAAAGGAAGCTAAACGAAGATGAATGTTAATTGAAATACATGAAAGTAAATGCGAATTATTTTAGTATTAATGGCAACGAATACATACATAAAGATGAATGGTAACCTTCATCATAGGATTCCTTGTGCTACGGTTGTCCGTTTCTGTAGCAGCTGTCTGTCCTTACTCTTAAGGACTCTATATGCCTTAAATTCAAAGTAACAAAACAAATTGTTGGCACTTGGGACCATATCTAACCAGCCATGCCCACCCCTCCATGTATTAATTCTTCGTTCTCACTCACTGTCTAACCAGCCACACCCACCCCTGCACTTGGGACCATGTCTAACCAGCTGTCTGTCCTTACTCTTAAGGATTCTATTTGCCTTAAATTCAAAGTAACAAAACAAATTGCTGGCATTGGGACCATATCTAACCAGCCACACCCACCCCTGCACTTGGGACCATATCTACCCAGCTGTCTGTCCTTACTCTTAAGGACTCTATTTGCCTTAATTTTTTTGTTTATTTGCTTCTCTTCCGCTTTTGTGACCGAGGAATATAACGCTCTCTGAGCTACTAACTATTTTGTTTCTTTTCCAGTTTGGTTTTTCGTTTTTGAGCATGCATATAGGTGGGTGCAGGTCGAGGTGAGAGGACGGGGCAGCAGTCGTGTATATAATCCAAAGCTTTATTAAATGAAATTCTTATCACGACAAAGTGTATATTTAGCATTGTCGGTGATGCTATCAAAAATCTTCATTGTGAATACCTGAGGTGGGAATGACCATGAAGAGACTTTCGTAACTCGAGCATTATCACAAAGTTTGAGCACGAATAAAATTTTCGCATTTCTAGTGTAATTGTGAAGAGAATATTAATTAAAACACTTATTTAGGTTTAAGATTAAGAGTAATCATTATGTGATGTCTAAATTAATTCTCCAAACTATTGTGCATTTATTTTATTTTGTTTTCAAGAATTATTGTATTAATCTATGGTATAAATTCATTCATCAAGTTCATGTATACTTTAAATTATAATATGACATGCACATTTTCCATTTTACAATTGCTGAGAAAAAATAAATGAAGTTATTTAGCCCATGTTTGGTGTCAATTATTTTAACTCTTTTTGTTACATGATCATTTTCAACCCCACATTCACACAATAAAGTATTATGTACGAAAACTCAAAAAAATTTCCAACTTTTCAACTATGCATTCTCTTAAAAGTACTATTCAATTTTTATTTTTTTTAATAATGAGCACCATACAGGGGTTTAATATATTCTCAAGACACTCGTTTGGTATCAATTAAAAACTTACATTTTAATTTAAGTCAGAGTCAACAATTCATTCCAACTATATATTTTATGAATCTCACAACTTTTTAACCATACATTTTATCAACTTCAATCGAAGAAGCACAAAAAACTAAAAACAACAAGACTGATTATCAATTATTGAAGAAATAATTAAATAAAATACACAAAGCACAATCATCTTCGTTTTTTCAGATAATCAACGAATGTTTCGAACTTCTGAGGACAAGTTCCTGACTGAGTGACGCTCCTGAGAGCCACTTCCTTCAATTTCAAAGCATTGGCTTTAATACTGTTGTCAGAAAACAACATTTCTATTTTTGTATTAATTTCTTGCCTTGATCTGAGTCCATTCTCATCAGGGTTCAGTCTCAAACCAATCTTCCACAGATCACAAATGTAATTCTAGTTATGAAATTGATCTAAAAAGTAAGGCCAACACAAGAAGGGGACACCCATGCTTATGCCCTCCATAGTTGAGTTCCACCCACAATGGCTTAAGAAACAACCCACAGAAGAATGACCCAACACACTTTTTCTTGAGGTGCCCATGCGACAATTTTTGCGGGTTGTCTTACTCTTTGCTCAAAGCCATTTGGGATGGCAAAGTTTGATCTAAAAACCCATAGAAAGGACCGATCACAAAGTTCAAGAGCCAAAGCCAGTTCTTGAAATTGTTCCTGAGACAAAACAGCTAAGCTTCCGAATGAAACATAGATCACAGAGCCAATTGACTGTTTATCTAACCAGTTTAAACAAGTCGTGTCCTCTGCCCAAATGCTCCCACCATTGGCAGAACTATTACTACTAAGCAATGGGCCGACGGGGCAGATGTTGGAGATCAAATTACAAGCTGATGATTCGAGTTCATAAAATGTATTGCATAGCAGCCACTTTGCCTTATGTAGTGCTTGTTGAGCAGTCTGGCAGCATTCAAAGACCATCTTTTGAGCCTTCAAGTCACTTGAGACCCTCCAGGGCAGTTCACTGTTTCGCCATGGCGGTATTTCACCGGACAGGTTGATCATTTCATTTTTCACGATAGATCCTGCAGGGGTAGCAAATTGTTATAGAAGGGATCACACCAATTCAATGGACATCATGATAAAAAAAGAAGTGATGATGATGAAAATGAACAAAGAAAAAAAGCATCCATTTATAACTCATAAATAACTTTACCATTAGTATCCAGATTTCCTAGTTGAATAAGCTTTGGAATTTGAAGAACGAGGGCCATGTCTGCGGTTGCACCTGGTTGAAAGGCTACACTCTCAGCTCCCACCTTTTCGGGAACGTCGAGTATCCATCCAATTAATGTAGTATCAGCTATGAAACAGATCTTTTCATCACTGCTTTCACCGTTAATCTTCTCGATCAAACGTGTCAAATTTGCCGGCATCGTTCTTCTAAGACTTTCTAGTAACCCTTTTTTTCTATCTTCCTCAATTTGCAGTCCATCAGGAATCGAGAGTAGTTCTATGTGGCTTTGCTCCTTATCTTCCTCGGACATCGTAGCAATAACTTTTTCATGTACCTGTTCAGCGTTAACAAATGTAACCTTAATCCCAAGATTTACAATTTTTCGACACAATTTCATGAGTGGCATGACATGCCCTTGTGCTGGAAATGGCACAGCCAACACATGTGGTATAATGTCCTTGACTGCCATGGATTCTCGGCCTTCTCTTGGATGCTGCATCTTTAGCTCCTGTTTGAGCCACATTAAAATTTTTATTTTCATTCTTTTACTCATTTTCAACCACACATTCTTCAATAAAATAATATTTTCCATCACATCAATATTTTTTCCTTCTTTTTTAACTACACATTCTCCATCTATTATTATTTCAAAATACATTCTTCCAAAATAATGTGGCTCAAACACACCCTAAGGAATACATAGAGAAATAAGTTTGTATTGAAGCTTGTTAGACTCAGGGGTGAAATATAGAGGTATTGACTAGTTGGTAGCTGACATCAAAATAATTACGCGTGCCAATGCATGAAAACGACACCACAGGCGTGAAGCTTTCCATTCCCTTCATTTTTATCACGCTACTGAAACTTTTAATAGGAAGGCATGTCTAACTTTTAATAGGAAAGCTATAATGAAATAAATATTTTATGGAATTTATAATATTTATCATTTTTTTATCAAAATCTAAAAAATTATGATTTTTAACTAAGCCAAATAGAGGCTAAAAGTTCAAGTCATCGACCAAGGCAATAAGATTTATAAATCTATACGTGATAGACAAGCCATTGCTTCTCCAATGTACCTATCATAATAATCAACTCTACAAATTATTTTCTGAATTTTCCATTCTAAATACAAAACTTAATATAGAAATGAGCATGTTCTTTTACTTTATAATTTTTATCACGGTGCATTGCTAAATAAATATATAGCATCTGTTTGGTTGAAAATCAAGTTTTTAATAAATTTTAATGAATGTGTAGTTAAAAAGTTGTAGGACTCATGAAATATGTGATCAAAACAAATTATTGGCTCCGACTTAAATTAAAATCCAACTTTTAATCCTTATTGAACAGGGTAGTCTTACAAATATAGTACCTATAACTAGGCAAAATATATTAGATTTTTTTTTTTTTTTCAAAAATAAACTTTCTATATGGCCTATATCTAGATAATGCAGCCCACATGAAAAAAAAAATCGATTACTTTGACAAAATTTTAGAATTTTAGTGTTATATACGTTTAGATTTTTCCTTTAATTAAGATTTTGATTATGGTAATTTTTCAATTAATAATATCTTAGGTTAGGAATCTTATATGGTATTTTGAAATTTTTTTTAAAGGATACGATTCCATTGATTTGTGCAAATACGATCATTAGGGTCTTTTGCAAAGTGGAATTAAATGAATCTAAAATGAGAATTTTGAGTTACGTGTCCATATTCTAGGCATTGCGCAGTTTTTGATATATATAGCTTTCGAGTATCCATATATAGATAAATCAATAGAAGGTTATTTGTGATTTTCGTGTTTTTATATTTCTGTACATGCTACTCTACGTTAGTTGACAATAGAGATAGTGCAATCTTGTGAGTATGTCATCAAGGAGATGTTAGAATATGCTCGTGACTTCATGATACGCACGAACAACAATTATTATTGGTTCATCCTATAGTGTTAGGTTTATATATTGTATTGACGATTTTGTGAACAAATTGACCAACTTGAACATGTATAAAAGTTTAGAGACTAAATTGTAAAGTTTCATAGTTGGTGGTTAGCTTAGGGTTTGGGGTTATATGTTTCAAAAAAGAAGAATTCACGCCGGATTTTCGCTAGCTGCCGCCGGAGTGTTGCTCGAGCGACTGAAGTAGAAAGTTCCTCGCTCGATGTTCGCCCCCATGTCGCTCGAGCGACAGACCCTTCACTCGAGCAAAGAAGAACTCTCGCTCGAGCGACGTATTATACTAGAAAACCTAATTTTCCTTTTCCTAGTTTTTTACTTGGCCCATACAACCTAATTCGTCCAACATATATATTGTCATATTTCCTAAAAAATAGATTGAACAACATAATATTCAAGAAGAATACATCCTACACTAGATCGAAAGTTCAATCCTTCAATACATATGTGCCTCTTTCATTGAAAACATCAAAGTTATCAAATCAANTCAAGAAGAATACATCCTACACTAGATCCAAAGTTCAATCCTTCAATTCATATGTACCTCTTTCATTGAAAACATCAAAACTATCAAATCAAACACTGAATTGGTTTCTTCGCTTAGATCTGCTGCAAGATTGTGTCGTCAACTGTGCTGCATTAAAAATTAAGAAAGAGTTTGAAGAACAAGGAGTTCTTGGGGAAGATCTACGGGAGATAAACTGCGTAAAAAGTCAGGATTGGAGTTCGTGTGCTCATTCCAGGAGGACTGCTTTACAAAGAAGAGTCAGGATTGGTGTTGGTGTACACATTCTAGGAGGGCTGCTTCATACTTCAAACAGGAGATCAGAAAGCTTGTGTTGTCAACATTGCTGGTAGTCTGTAAGTTTTATTGATAG